GTGTACCTCTGTTTCATGAGAAACTATTTGTTCTGTAAGCCTTCACGTGAAGTACAGTTAAAAAAAATCTATTTTGCTTAATATTAATATAACTGAACTAGTTTTCTTTTGGTTAATTTTTGCCAGGGTTATCACTTTTCCATTCCTATATATTCAACTTTCTGTGATCTTGTATTTTTGGAAAACCTCTTGTAAATTGTATATGCCTAGATTTAAAAAAAAAATCTCACTGAGAATCGCTTAACTTTTAACTGGTAATTTTGGTCCATTTTTATTTACTGTGATTGCTGAGCATTTTGTATTTATATTGTTTTATTTTGTACTTTATCATAGTTTCTCTTTATTTTTTCCTCTTTTCTGCTTTCCGTTGGATTAATCAAGTTTTTTTATTCCCCTTTTTCGTCTCGTCTGATTTGGAAGTTTTCCATTCCATTATTGTTTTGGTGGTTACCCTTAATTTCTTTAAGTTTTTATCTAAATAAGGAAAAAACTTGGGATTACAAAATGGTACAGCCATTTTGGAAGATAGTCTGGTAGTTTCTTATAAAACTAAACATAAGCTTACCATATGATTCAGTAATAGCGCTTCTAAGTATTTGCCCAAATGAGTTGAAAACTACGTCCACTTAAAAACCTGCACACAAATGTTAATAGCAGCTTTATTCATAATTGTAAAAAATTGGAACCACCTAAGATGTCTATAGTAGGTACCACAAGTTGTGGTATATCCCTACAGTGGCGTATTATTCAGCAATAAAAAGAAATGACCTGTGAACCTACAAGAAGACGTGGAGGAACCTTAAATATACATTGTTAAGCAAAAGGTCAAACCAAAACCAAACTCATTGCCGTTGAGTTGATTCCGACTCTTGGCAACCCCATGTATTACAGAGTAGAACTGCTTAATAGTGTATTCTTGCCTGTAATCTTTACAGAAACAGATTGCCAGGCCTTTCTTCCACAGCACTGCTGCCTGGGTTCGAACTGCCAGCCTTTAAGTTAGTAGTTGAACACAAATCATTTGTGCTCCATAGGGACTACAACTGAAAGAAGCCAGTCTGAGAAAGCTACATATTGTATGATTTCAACTGTATGACTTTCTGGAAAAGGCAAATCTATGGACAATAAAAGATTAGTGGTTTCCAGAAGTTTATGGGGAGGGCAGGAGGGATGAATAGGGGCACAGGGCATTTCAATGCAGTGAAACTATTCTGTATGGTGCTGTAGTGGTGGACACATGACATTATGCATTTGTCAAAACCCATAGGACTGTACAATACGAAGAGTGAACCCTAGTGTTAACTATGGATTTTAGATAATAATAATAATGTGTTGATAGTGGTTCATTAATTGTAACGATGTACCATGGGAATGTAGGATGTTAATAACAGGAGAAACTGTACAAAAGGGAATGTTAAAACAAACAAACAAACCTAGAAAAGTGAAGATACAAGAATATAGCTTGATAATTTTCACATCCTGAAAACACCCACCAGCACCTAGATTTAAAAATGAGAACATTCCAAGCACCTCCGAAGTCCCCTTTATGTTCCCTTCTAGTAATTACCACCCTTCACTCCTTGCAGGTAACTATTCTGACTTCTATTGGCGTGGGTTAGTTAAAAGTCTGTTTTTGTATGATACAGTACGTCTTCTTGTATCTGGCCTCTTCATTCAACATTGTTTGTGAGATTCATTTAAATTGTTCTCTGTACTTGTAGCTCATTCTTTCTCATGCCTGTGTGATATTTAGTTGTGTGAACATACCACTATCCATTCTAAGATTGATGGGCATAACTTTAGATTTTAACATGTGTACTTGATTTTAAAAGTCTAAAGTTTATCAGTATCTCTTTTTCCTAAATAATGTGAGGACCTTGGAAATCTTTAACTTTGATCATCCTCTCCTTTCTTGTTTGTGATTATTATTCATTATTTTAGTTCCATCTTGTTTTTAACCTTCTCAGGGATTAGATTAGATTTTCTTATTAATATTGTTCTGCATAGCCAGTGTTTGTTTAGCTTTACTACACTTGCCAGATTTCTGCTCACTATTGCTTCTTCTCATTCCTTCCCTCTGGATTCAATTTCCTTCTTCCTGAAGTATACCCATTATTATTTATTAAAGTGAACCAAAAAAACCAAACCCGTTGCCTTCAAGTCGATTCTCACTATAGCGACCCTGTAAAGCAGAGTAGAACTGTCCCATAGGGTTTCCGAGGCTGTAATCTTTATGGAAGCAGACTGCCACATCTCTCTTCTGTGGAGTGACTGGTGGGTTCGAACTGCTGACCTTTTGGTTAGCAACTGAGTACTCACCCACTGCTACACCAGGGCTGCTTATTAAAGTGAAGGCCTGTTAATTTCTATTTTTCTGAAAATAACTTAGGCTCACATTTACTATTAAATAATAGTTTAGTTGGGTATAGAATTGTAGGTTGGCTTTTTTTTTTTTGTCCTCTCAGCAGTTTAAAAAAATTTTTTTATTGTTTTAGGTGAAAGTTTATAGAGCAAATTAGTTTCCAATTCAATAGTTTGTATTTAAAGTGTTCCATCACATTGGTTGCATTCCCCACAGTGTGTCAGCACTCTCCCCGTTTCTGCCCTGGGTTCCTTGTTTCATTTCGTCCATAT